AGCTACATCAACGAATTTCCTCTGCCAGTCTCTTTGCTATTCCATGTCGCTTCGCGCTGCTAGTTGAATTAACACCACAGATGTGTAGCGTAACCTTCGCATGCACGTACCGTTCACAACAGATGTCACGCCACACACACTTCGACGTCACCTTCGCACCAACAGCCCGGCAGGCTCGGGAAACACTCCTGGCGGCGGGCAACTTTGACAGCGTTGTCGTGGGCAGCCGGCGCTGCAAAACTTCCAGCGACTGACAGTGCGGCGGAGAGAATGGCTATGGCGAAGAAGCGCATGATATAGGTCGAGAGGGGAAATCTTAACAAATTCCTCCCCATCGGGGACCTTTTTAAGTGTCTTGACGTCTGAGCACGGCGTTAGGAGGGCCAGCAGCTGCACGAGAAATCTGTCAACCTCCTCCGTTGTGCACGGCGTGTATCACTTTGGTTACGGCGTGGCACTCATGTTCCTCGTCTTGGCTCTCTGGCCAGGTACACTGTGCAGGTCACCTGCGCGTTTGCTCTCAGGATATGCAATGACATCCGAGAGTCGCATAATCTCCTTCATAATTGGCACGACCGCATTATATAGATCAACGCAATGCTCCATCTCAGCACGTGGCAGAGGTACCTGGTCTGATGTGCAGCGTTAACCTCAGGCCGTCGCAAAGCGTTCGACCCGCGCACACACGTACCCCGTCTCAACATTCGAAATTCACGGGATCGATACAGACGCAACCGCGAGGCGGCACACAGGTCGGCAGCCAGCGTTTCGCCTCCTGATTCGGTGCGCCGAGTGCAGTAGCGAAGACGCAGGAAACGGTGACTATGAGAGCGAGGGGACGCATTGTAATCGAGTGCTCAAGTAGTGGGACGTCGCGTTGGGCCTGCTGGCTTTTCTAGTGTCTGCTACAGGTCACGGCTGACCGTGCACGCCTATCTACGCTGTACCGCCCATCGAGGAGGCTGAGGGCATACAATACCGTTCGGTAGCGATGTCAGCCTAAACGCGCACGCCCACCGTGAGGACAGTTTCCGCGATATCAACGAAGAGAGAGCTTGAGCGCCTTATATATATGGTTCCTTCATTGCCAGGCTGAGAATCCGTTGTTTGGAATGTTTCTTAGACGGAGCTAATGGGTTGGTCGGACTGAACTACCGAGTGGGTTTATATTCCCCGATTTTCAGAGGTGAGAGTCGACAGAGTTGAGTCAAAGCGGAGCTATACTAGATCACACACGATACACGCACTCAGGCCTCTACATAGATGTACACATTTCCACCGAATGCCACACTGACATGACCGTGTCGATCCCTTCCAGGCCGAACTTGCAGGCTCAGAACACGCCCGCTACTCCTCATATCAGGAACGGCGTTGTGCAAGGAATGCCGAAGTACTAATCAAACATTAGCGGTGTCTCTTCAAACGCAATGCGAACCGTAACGCACCACGAGGTGAGGCGGGTTGATGCCCAGGCTCGGGAAGATCTTCTTCGACCCTTCCGGATCCTCCAGCTCGCCCGGCGCGATGCATATACGCGTCGTGGCGGGAGAGTGCGGACTGAGGGCCCAGTACTCCGTACCGTGATGCTTGTAGCCGAAAGGCTCGAATTCCGGGGCCATCGTCGGTACACTGCGCGCGACGAATGAGCTTTATAACGAACAGAGGAGGTATGTGCACCGTGCACGTACCCGTCATTAGCGTGTACGACTGAATTACTGTCAGAATCAGACAATCATGATGATTCCTGAGTCTGCGTACCACGGAAGGCGCGTTCGAGCGGAAGGATGGTATTTGCCCAGGTCGCGAAGACCTTGTTGCCGACGCGCGGAGCGCCGTACGTGTAAACCCGGACTTTGCTATATGGAATATAAGTACTCCATACGCGATACACCTAGCCTAGTGCGCGTACTTCGTCGGGAATGTCATCTGCAAGGACACAGCGGCAAAAGACGCGAGTGCGCCGCCCAACGAATGGCCGGTTGTGACGATCGTGTAGCTGGGGAAGGAGACCAGCATAGCCGTGATGGTCGCAATGAGCGTGGGCGCAATAGACCTCCAGCTGTATATACGAGAACATTAGCAATTATCCTCCGCAAGCCAAGCCCAGGACGTACGCAGCTTGGAATCCCATGTGAACCTTAGTACCGGCTGTAAATGTGCAGTCAGAGTTGGCTCCAATCTCTATATGAGACGTAAGATGATGTGAACATACCAGGAGCAGGTATGATGGGCATCTGAGCAGTATCCCAGTCGACAGGAATACCACTAGCGTCAGTGATGAAGTTCGCAGGGGTCACGCTGGCAGTCGCCGTGAGCTTTCTGCGATCGAGGTATACGAATGATGATTTCTCACCTCCCGCGGAAGGCTACAACGATCTCTTGTCGCTTGTCGTCCCGCGCGATGTATCCGTGGGTATCGGTAATGAGGTCGAAGAGCTGTTACGACGCGGTATCAGTCTGAAGTCTGGACCATCATGCGTCGAAAGAGAAATCTACTCGCCTTCAAGACAAGCGCCGCCCCATTCGGACGGACAGGAATCAAGGCCGAACCAGGAAGTATCAGGGCATGAGCGGTACAAGAGTACTTGTAATAGTGAACCAGGTCGTCGTACACAGCTGGTCAATGATGGCCGGAGCCGTCAGATGAATCGTTTTGCTGCAGAGCTTGAGGACGAATACCTTCGATGACTGGAGGCTTCGTCGCAACACCAAGGATCGCAGCACCTGCCAGGCCAGCGGCCTGAGCGAGTGGGTTGCGGTTGATGAGCGAGTCGATAGCGGAGAGACTGCGACCAGGGAGAGAAAGCATGGTGGTCGGTATAGAGATTCTGAGGCAAGAGTGCACTGTCTCAAGCTTGTCCTCAGGCGAGAGCCATATATACTCCCGTCGGTGAAATGATCGCCGCTGGGCGGGAGCATTGGCTGTTGTCCTCGGCATGTTCTCGTGCACGGCCGTTCGACGCTAGAAGCGTCGAGGAGCATTCTTCCGGTGCCGGAGAGCCTCTGTCACCGAGAGTTCTGCGCATTGTCGTAACAATTCTAGTATCGGGATCCCTTGCGCGAGCCGGCGCCTTGATACTCCGTAAGGCACATACGCGCCTCCTGTATTGCAGCCCTGGGCGGTACGCCCGGTACGCTGTGTGCAACCGCAACGGCTTACAATCCGACTTGTTTGCGAGGAACTTTACATGATGCAAAGAAACGGCGCTGCGCGAACTGGGTTGGAGGATGACATTTCGCCGTATCTTGCACAGGTCAAGCGGCATTGCTCGATGATAGCGCGATTCTGTCGGTATCAATGCCTTCTATTGTCCATAAGAGGCTCGCCGATAGGTAGTCGACAGGCGACGCCGGGCGCCAGTAGGACTCCCGATGCATTTTTTGGAGTCCACTTTGGTTCATCTCGAGCATCCCGCAAACGACGACGACAACGACAGCTTTGAGCAACGGTATGCCGGATGGAATATCGATGGGCGGAAAGACAAGGTTGAGCTTAGAACTCGCGCTGCGTCGCGGCAGCAGCACGGGAGCCCAGCGAAAGATGACCCAGCACTACGTCGTACTGCACAAGATCTAGAGCCTGCCAAATCCTGGACATGCAGGAGCCAGACATCACGACGAGAAGTCGAACTGTGGGTCCTGTTCAGGTCTAGCGCTGTTGTGGTTGATGGTGGTCGGCAGACGGTAGACGGCAGACGGCCGCGGCGGACTGTGTTTGGATCGGAGACGCAAATTTGTTGTTTTCGCAAAGTTCAGGAGATGAGCGGCATTTTCCAGATGGCCAACTGCAGCGGTTTAACTCAGCGGAAGTAAGGCATGAGGTCGGTGTATAGTATTGACTTTACAGCACGGAGTGACATCTCAGTGAACCACATTCGGACGTGCTTGACAGGCAGTTAGAGTGATGGTTACCATACTTTATGCCCCCAAGATCCAGGAGTACAGTCTGACTCGCTGCGCCGTTGTGCAGTACGCAGGTCTTTGGCACACTATTGTTCCCGAGGTTCCGGCTGACGCTGACAGGCTTCCAGAATCCACAGCACAGCATCTGCTGCGACAGGCCGCGGCTTGCCCTGCTTCACTCACGCATCCGCAAGCTCTACTCATGGTACGCTTTATGGTGCCGCTTTACAGTCAGCTCACTCTCTCTCAAGACTTCGGCGCCGTCACTCCTGTCCCGACCACTGGACTTGCTGTACTTCGCGTTTTTTATCGTACGTACATTCCAGGATCAGTCACAGCTCATGAAGTCTGACGTATCTGGGCAACCAAGGTCCATATTCCCATATCGCTTTTAGTGGACTTTCAACAGCTTTACCCTCGCCAATGGGTCCCAAGCGCCGTCACAGCGCTCGCTGACTGGTATCTGTCTGAACATGGCGATCCCATCTACGCCGGAGGGATGGGTCTACTCAAGAGCCGCCCGCACGACGTCGTCTGGCTGCAGTCATTCACCGTGCTGGAGATGTGCGTTGCCCATTCCATCCTCGTGCCGTGTCACTGACAAGCCCATGCGACAGGATATTCCAGTTCCCCGTCTTCTTCGTCGGCGCATGGGCTCTTTACAATGGTAGGCCCCGTTTCACCAGCTGATGTCACTGGAAACCTCACACCTGCCGTACTTCCGTAGGTCGGAAGGCGTGGTACCCGCTTCTTTTGGCCTATGGCGCCTCGACAGCAACCACACTCGTGGCCTGCGTGTCGTATCTTGCAGCATACCCCACGGCTTCGAAGAAGAGCGCAACGTTCGAGACGATGACTGTGGAACAGAAACTGCATGTCATAGCGATGATGAGTCCGTGGATCGTCATCCCTGCCCTTCTGACTGTAGACATGGCGCTCCGCATAGCAAAGGAACTTCGGAGGGCGGACAGGCTTGTGTCGAGCAGGAAGACGCAGTAATGGTGTGCATGTACTTTACGACCCTTCGGCTTCAGGTTTAGGTTGATTGTTGTACAAGCTATATGATATCATAGCTAAAGCTGCTTCGTTGACATGAAGGCGCAATAGCTCAGCTGGGAGAGCGATAGACTGAAGATCTACAGGTCCCTGGTTCAATCCCGGGTTGTGCCATTCATTTTGTATCCTTGTCGTTGCCTTGTTTGCGTGAGCAAGGTAATGCAGGCTGCTTTTTCTTCTTCTTTCGGCTATTCCGAACAAAATTGACGACACCGGTCCTTCGCCACTAAGAGCGTCACAAACCCGAGCACGGATGATGCAAGTAATCAGGTCGTATTGTACAAGATTGCGGGTATCCATAGCCAAGTCGTTTTGCGCGCACTGCATAAGATATATCTGACATCGTCGGCGAGTTGTGAAAGGGGTGGGGCAGAGCCGGCACATCGTCCGGACGGTTGCAAGGCGATGGAATGGCAGGACAGGGAAATGAAATGCTAGCAAGACGGAGGAGAACACAGAGAGTGGAGAGGCGCGGAGGAACAGGAAACTGATGCATGAGGGAGAGCTCTGGTGAGCCTGAGTGTCTACGAGGGGCGTGGGGCGTTGCGGTGATACAAGATACTAAAAGAGTACGATGAGGAGAGGAGAGGAGAGGTCGAACGAAGCGAAGAAAGCAGTGGGAGAGGTAGGGAAAATGAAAGAGAAAAGAGTCGTGTTCGTAAAACTGCTCGTCGCTCCGTGCATTACCTCCTCCCTGCGGCGGCGGTACGCTGCTGCTGCTGCCACACTGCGAGCGGCACGTCCTCCTCTGCCGCTCCGCCTGCGCCACCGAAGAACCGCTCGTCGTCGTCGTCCTGTCTCCACGCTCCAGCGCCCGCCCGCGCCGCGATAGCGCTGTTCGCCTTCCGTCGCGGACGCCCGTTCAGCGGCGCACCGCCAGGAGCTACTGCGCCTGCGCTCAACGATCGACTTACGCCGCTGCCAGCTGATATTGTCGGAGGGGATCGTCGGCCAGACGCCTCGAGGGCATGCGCAGGTGACATGGCGCCGGGAGGAAGCGACGCGACGGGCTCCTTCGGCTGCTCGAACATCGACGGGTACCCCGCGGTGCTGTTTCCGTGCACGTCGTGCGCGTTCAAACCCATGCCTAGCGAGTCCCACTGTTCTTGCGCCAGGACACGATGCTGGGCGTCGTATTGAGGTCCGCGTACTGGCATCTCTGCTCGTCGCGGAGACCCCGCTGTCGATTTCGTCAGCGCCGCGCGTCGTCCAGACTTCTTTCTTTGCGTCTGAGCTGCTGCAGCCGCGGCCGCAGCTACCTCCTGCTCCTCCTGCTCGCGTTGCAATCGTTCACGCTCCTGTTGTTGATGCTCCCACTCGAGGCGTTCTTGCCGTTCGTGCTCCTCGCGTTCCCTCGCCTCTTGCTCCTCCGCCTCTCGCCGCTCACGCTCCTCGCGCTCCGCGTCTCCATCCGACATCTGTCCATCCTGCTGCTGCATCTGGGCCTGCATCTGGGCCTGCGCAGCGGCAGCGGCCTGCTGCTGCTTGTTGATAACGCCAAGATACCAGAACATGAGGTTGCTGATCAGGACCTGCTCGTATAACGGCCGGCGCGGGTTGGCGAGCTTGATGTGGCTCAGTCGGTACACCGCGCGCTCGACGTGAATCGGGTATCGCGCGTAGTTGCCAGCGTACTGGATCTCGCCGCTGAGCGCGCCGCCTGCGCCGTACTGGAACCCGGTACTGCCAGCCTGCCCGTGTCGTCCCTGCTGCCCAGGATGCGGCGATTTCGACTTCGGTGGGCCGAGCAGCGCCGCTGCTGCTGCGGGACCGGCGCCCGACGCGAACGAGGACTCGTCCGCCTTCTTCTTGCCACCGAAGAGCCCAAAGAAGCCGCTCGACTCCTTCTCCTTCGGTGGCGCACTGTAAGCTTGATGTTGTGGCGCGTCCTTGGCCTTCTTGCTCTCCTTGCCGCTGCCCCATTTACTGAACAGACCGCCCTTCTTCTCCTTGTCTTTCCGCGGCGACGCGCCTTTTCCTCCGGGCGGAGGCGAGGGCGAGGGCTGCAGGTAACCGTGGCCGCCATCTGCGATGGCGTCAGCGCGTGATGGCACGCAATTACGGGCATGTGCTTACCTGACGAACCAGGCGATGGAGAACGTGCAGGCGCGCCACTCGGACCCTGCTGCCCGGGCACGGCCAACATGCGCTGGGGCGTCGGGTGGTACAGCTGTGGCTGTAGTTGTTCGGGCTCTTCATGTAATTGTGGCTGCTGCGGTGGTTGTTGAGGAGGAGGCGAGACGACAGGCTGAGGGAGCGGCTGCTGTTGATAATGTAATGGAGGTAGTGATGGTGGTGGAGAGGCAGAACTCGTTGGATGGTCCTCCTCGGACACGCTTGTGTACGAGTCTGGCCGATCGGCGTACGAGTCGAAGATGAGCGACTCTTCTGAAAAGGATACGGGCCGAGAGGCGTCTTCGTCCTCGTCCGTGGCTCCCGGGAGCGGGGCGTGCGGGCGTGGATACGGGTCGTCCTGCGTCGGCGTCGTCGTGCTCGTTCTGTCTGGCAAGGGCGCGTCGAGCGAGTCGAGAGTTGCCGAGCGTTGCGTGCGACGCGTGGCCGGGAAGCGATGTCCGCCGCCGTCGCCCTGGAGGGACGGTTTACGAATCTTTGTTCTCGCTGCGCGTCGGAGGATTTGGCCGGGTTTGGGAACGATGATGGGCGCGTCTGCGTCCTCGATATCGGGCATCTGATCCTCGAGCTCTGCACAAACCACGGTCAGAACTGTTCCACAGAGCAGCTAGAGTTGACTCACTTGAGGGCGGGACGTTGAGCGACAGCGAGCGCCTGAGGACGCTGCGCAGCTTGGACGGGTCGTCCGAGCGCGATGCCTCCTCGGCGAGCTCCTCGAGCTTCTGGAGGTCGCTGATGGACAGCTGCGGGGACTGGGCGCCGTATGCACGCGACCGCTTGCGTTGGAGGTCGGGCTTGACGGTGTCGTCCTGGCGCTCGACGCCGTCGTTGGGCTGTGGCTCGTACTGCCTGCTGAGCATGGAGCGTCGGCGGTTGAGGCTGCTGTTGGAGCGCAGCGAGCTCGAGCGTCCGACCTGGCCGTGGGCGTTCTCCTGCGCGGCGGGCGCGGTCTCTGGGTTGCGCGCGTGCTGCTGGAGAAAGACCCTGAACTCGGCGGGCGCGAGCTCGGGATGGAGGTGCGCTGGCACCCAGAACAGATGCGACGGGTCCGCCAGCACATGGTCCTCGTCGTCCTGGCTCACCTTCTCGCTCGACCCAGGCTGCTGCGCCCACGTCTGCGGCGACAGCGGCGACGGCGGGGAAGGCGGGGCGTTGGGCAGATCTGGGTCCAGCGGCAGCGACCCCGGCCCACCCTGCGACGACGACCGCCGTCGGATGTCCCTGAGCGCCTCGACCTCGCGCCTGATCTCCAGTGCAGACGGCTCCATGGCTTGCGAGTCGGCGGCGACGGCGGCGACGCTGGCGGCGACAAGGAATTCGTATGGGAAAGCTGAGTCTGAATCAGGTGCCGCGGGTTACCATTTTTCTTACTTCCTCTCTTACTTTCCCGCTTACTTTCTTGTGACAAATGGACGAAGACGGCCGCCGCGTGGGATGACGCCCGTCGAACGCGTGGCGAACGGATAATCCCGCTGTTGCAGCTCTCCTTTGACCCCTCTTCCTCTCTCGCACGCGACCGCAGCCAGCGCGCACAGTCGCACTGGATCTCTGTTCCGCCCTATTCCACAGGCGCTCCGAGATTTTCAGGACACTTCTTGCAATTCCGTGACGTCGCTTATGCTCAGTTCTTGCACGCTGACGTTTGTCCCGGCCTGCACGTCGCTTAGCGCTGGAATGCACCTTTTCAATCGAAACTCGCCCATGGACATGGATCCTGCATCGTCGCTCTTCGCACGGTCTTCAGTCTTCCTAGCTCCCCATATCCAGATCTCAAACAACTCCAATCACCTCCTTGAACCCACGACCAATCCTAGCAACGTTCCTACGCGTACCCCTTGTCCCCAGGCTGTCACCTGCTGGCATCGTACATTGTGCGCCTGCAGAAATATATATATAATCTCTCCACTCGCCCTCCTAAAACTCAGCATCCTGATGCGCTTCCTCTCGTACATCTCTCTCGTCGCTCTTGCGTCATTCGCCGCCGCCTGGCCTGCTCCGTCGGCTAAGCAGGCACCTCCTCAGACCTGTACTCCTCCTGCGGGCCAGTGTGCTTGCATGCTTCCTAGCGGCGCGTGGATCTGTCCTTGAAGTACGTTCTTTTCTGCTGCGTAGGTCAGCAGAAGCTCTAATCTCGAGCGGATAGCCTCCTGGACACTACTCTGCACGGGGCGACTTTGGAGACCGTGCACGTTCGGCCCAATAGTCTTGTGTGGCGAATGCTGGACTGGTCGTACCTGCTTTGTCCTATTGTGCGCGACGTCATATGCCAGAGCTGTTTTTTTGTTCTGCGCCTGGGGAACAATCCGCAGGCCGTGAAAGTTCCCAAGTCATATCGTGTCGGCGGGCATGACGGGTCCACTTCGTCCGTCGCAGCAGTCAGGTGAAGCAAAAAGAAATCCGTACAATCTGCGCCTGCCGGGAGGATATGCAGATGGCAATTCCAAGCAAAGTCTGCAGCATCTGTCACCCTAACGTCAAACCACTCGTCAGGGTCATGATATCTCTCCGTCGTTCTGGAACTTCGAGATAGAGCGGGAACTGACGTCTTTGAGTCCGCACAGCGCGTGAACTATTTCGTTTGAGTCCGTAGTACCTGCAGAGAGCATAATATCGCATGACTATCAGCACAGAAGTGTCCAAATGGTCGGTTGATTGCGTCCTCGTGTAAGGCGGTGGTGGACTCTGTGATACCGTGACCGTCCGCGGGAGCAAGGCTCCGCGGACCCTGTGATTTCTACCTATATAAAGCTGTAACCCCGCTCGGATGCGGGTTGTCCTTCTTTCACTCAGACGTGCACTCCGTCGTATATAGACAGAATTCAGTGTACGTTGGGTGAACCGAAAGCTTCGGCGCTATGTATTGCTCGCAACAGCGCCTTACATCCTCGCCGACTTGAACGGAACAAACGGGACTTGCAACGCTGTACTACAGGTGAAAGGCGTACCAGGGCACTTTCATTGTATGCCCAGTGAGCCAAACG